ATTTGCGCAGACATTCGCGCGTATTTTTTTTTCCGCGCGAGGACGCGCGTAAGCGCTCTCTCTTCTCTCCGCGGTGTGTCACGCTTGCGGCCCGTTTAAGCCACGGCGTAAGGTCGCTATTCCTTTTTGCGTAAGATCCGTTTCGTTTTGTCGCTCTCTCGGGGTGAAGATTTGGTTTCGATCATGCTTAGATTTTCCTGGGCAGACACCTGAGGATGACAATTCCCAACGGACACTGATCCTGTCTAGGCCCATCCGTCAGTGTGCACGCCGTCTTGGATGGACCAGGGAGGCGCATACACTGATCCTGGATCCAGGATCAAGTCGGTCTGGCTGGGCCCAATCGATGTCAGTGTACAGTCCCGCAATCAGTGCTTGCACTGAAGGGTCTTCGTGGAAACTGAAGGATTTGGCGGAGATCCCAGGCCGATTTTGGCGGGTGGCTGGGTTCCAGGGTGCCCAGTTCCGGTGTCCCGGGTTCCTGGTATTGGGTTCTGGCCCGATTTCGGTGGGCGGTTCGGTTCCCAGTTCCTGTTTCCTGTTTCCGGGGTTCCCAGCTCTTCATGTCAGTTATGTATTCCTGGCAGCGTAAGGTTCTTGTAGTCTGGATTTCTTGATTGTGGCCAATCGCCGGGATCTTTGATCGTTAGTACAGGAGTCAGAGAGTTGCGAGCAGAGTTGACCAGAGGGTTTAGAGAGACAGAGAGAGATAGGGGGAGTAGGTGGAACCAATGTACGCTATCCAGTTGCCTACGGCACGTCCCGTCACCGTGTCTGGGTTGTGGATTATAAGCCTAGTGGATGTTCCTTCGAGTCTCGTGGGAGGCCTCTCGGGTGTATCTTGGAGGCAGTCTTCATGCCTCTCGGGGACCGTTTGGGGGCCTCTTGGGGGCGTCTTGGGGGCCTCTTTGGGCTGGGGACCCCTTGGGGCGGAAAGCTAGGATGTTTTGTCCGTGTTCCCTCTCTGGGGCCCTCCTTTGGGGCCGCCTTGGGGCCCTGTTGGGCCGTCTTGGGCTTGGGCCGTCTTGGGGCGCTCTTAGGTCGTCTTGGGGCCCTCTTGGAGGCCAGTTTGGCCGTTTTGGGGTGGTCTTGGGGGCCTCGTTGGCCGTCTTGGAACGTCGGAAAGCCGAAAAGGCGAGAACACCACCATTCTTCAAACACACACGGAAAATCAATGTTATCGGCTTTTGGGTGCCCTCTTGGGAGACTTTTTGGATGCCTTTTGGGGCTTCTCGGAAGCCCCATGCGCAGTCTTGAGGCCATAGTGGGCATCCTCGAGCGATCGTTCGGCGACTCGAGGTCCTCTTGGACCGTCTTGGGGGCCTCCTGGGCCGTCATGGAAGCCTTGAAGAGCCTTAGGGAGGCGCCATGGCCGCCCAGGGACCTCCCGAGAGTGTGGCCAGTGCGTGCAACGAGGCGCGGCCAGGAGGGGGGGGGGCATCAGAAAATTGTAAAAAAAACCCTATCAGACAGCACTTGGCATTCTAGCACGCCTCAACGTGCCAAGGGGCACGGTGGAGGATACTTTTGAAAGATGGAGGTCAGAGTGGGAGTGTGCATAGCATATCGCGTTGCAGTGTAAGCTACGTGTACCGTTGACGCCGTAGCTCAAGGCTCTCAGTTTGTTGTGTTTTTGGGAAAAGGTTTCTTAGTCAAGACGCTGTGTGATGTCCGTCTGACGCCTCAGTATCCGCAGTGGCTGCGGAGCGTGGTTCCCCGAGCGGCCTGCGGCGACACCTCCGTGGAGGACACACTGCGGGCTTGCTCACCGATCTACTAGGATAATGATTTGGAAATTACAGGGGGTCGTTCACGCGGCAGCGGCGCCGAGGGAGAGAGGGAGGGAGGAGGAGGAGTAGGAGGAGGAGGAGGAACGGTTGTGAACGACCGCAGCCCCCCCGTTCCGCGAATCAGGCCGACGTCGAGGCGTTGCCGGAGGCCAAGCCAGGCCCTGGGCCCGCGGGAGTCCGGCAGGAGGTGTGTCTGCGCGCCCGTAAATGGGGACAGACAGTATGGTCGGGCGTTGCGTCATGTGGGGGGCCGTTGTTCATGTTTCTGCTTGTGCCTCTGTTTCCTCTTCTAGGCGAGGGAGCGCGAGGCACGTCGAGTCAGGTCACCGCGCTTTCGCACGACGGGCGGGCCGGGACAGGTTGCGAGGGGAATTGACAGGTGCCCGTTCGCCGTGCACAGGATGAGTCGGCGGCGAGCGAGGGGGGGAAGCGAGAAGGAGGAGGCCTTGTCGGAAGGCGGCGGAACTTCTCGGAAGCCCTCGCGCCCTCTGATGGGTCTGTTGTGTCTCCGGGGAAGGCTCAGAAAACTTCTCGGAAGGCTGGGGGACTTCCGAGCCTTCTGAGAAGGCCCGCCCCTTCTCATTTCCCCCTCGGGCGCGCCGCCTAAGAGGCTGGAGGAAGCGGCTCTTCGTTCTCCATGAGGTCGTCCCGCCCGGAGGTGGGTTAAGGCAGACACCGAGGAGCCAGAGAGAGGGAGTGGGAGAGGGATTCGGGTGTTGCGCACGGGGGGGGGGATCAATCTCAGCCACGCGAAGAGCGGGATAGGAGAAGGGGGGGTCTTGTAAGAAGCACTCCTGCTGCCGAGAAGGCGCTGGCCTTATCTACAAAACCTTCCCCCCTCCCCCTAACCCCCATGGGAGAGGGCGAAGAGAGGTGCACCTTTTGTGCCCTGAAGGGCGCCCCTGGGGCCCACAGGCGGCACGGAAGGTATAGGTTCCTTCCGCCCACCATTAAGCAACGCCCGATATGGGTTCGATGCTGAGCAGCAGTACCTCTTAATTCGGAGGAAGATTTGCTGGCATTCTGGGCCCATAGGACAGGCAGTCAAATTTTGTTGACAGCTATCTGTGTCCATTGGGCAGCGCCTGTTGTCCAGATAGGCAAGGACTGCTGTGAAAACTACAAGTACTGCTGTCAGAAGGCTTCCGAAGGAGAGCTGGTCTTGTTCCACATGAGCAGGCGCCACCATTGGGCATCGTACCCATACTTGCCGTCCCCATTCTTGGCGTGCAGAGCGGGGCAGCGTGACTTGACCCCCGCTCCACTCCATTGACCCCCACCTACTCTCGTCGTGAAAAGATCACGAGGGACGGTTCTGGCCAGCTATCGGCCTCTAGGGGCCCTTACCAAGCCACAGGAGTGTCAACCAAACATCTCGGGATGAAAACTGTGTCCCAGGCAATGGGTCTACGATGACTTTTGCGGTCCGCGTCGTGAACAATGCAAGACGTCGGAGATCAGCGGATTTGTTCCCCCATTTCCCCACGCCTCCCTGAGGATTCATTATGTCTCCTCCCTCCTCCCCCCTCCTCAATCTTCCTCATCTTCTCACCTCATCCCTCACCTTTCCTTTTTGTTCCTCCCCGGGTCGTGATGTCGTTCCGTCCTCGCTTGAGCTCCACCCCAACCGGCGTGAGAGGGCGGCGCCAGCAAACGCTGTAGAAAGGGCGTGATCGATATGTCGTGCTGAATGTCGACCAGGAGCGACCCCCCACCCAAGATTGGCGCAAAGGGTCTTCATCCGAGCCCCTCGGACCCGCGGTGCCGTCGGCGGTCGGTCCTAGTCAGGCCTCTCCTTGCATTCCAGGCTTAGTGGAGACCCTGGCTCGCAGCGTGGAGCCACGGGCGGACTCGCCCTGCGTCCACGCCAGCACGCCAGTCTCACAATCTGTTTGTCTTTGGACCACCATGAGCCATGAACCCCTGCAGAGACGTCGCCCAGACAGACGCCCGACGCGTTCGGGCCCATTCTGGCCTGCCCTGGGACGAGGCAGTGGAGCTCGGTGTGACGGTTCGAAACCAGGACTGTCGATGAGCCCGCGAGGGCGTTGCTGACCTCCTCTCCCCAGGGAAGTCAGAATTTAATTGGTTCTTTAGCGGACGGTTGCTCTTATCCTCTTTCTGCAACTTTAGTTTTGCAGGGTTTCCCGCTTCCCCATTCCCCTATGATTGGGTCGCGCCGGCTCTGCTCTATGCCGTGCTCTGTTCTGTTCCACTCCTCTCTCCTCCTCTTCCCCTCCCTCCTTTCTCGTCCACCATCCTCCTTTCCTCCCTCCTCTTCCTCCTCCTCCCACCTCCTCGGCCGAGATGTCGGGTCTGAGGTTCCCGGGCGGAATGCATGTCCGTGCCCTTGGCCTCGCAGGCCGGGCCTCTGGGGACCGCGACCCCGTGGATGCGCAGCGCGTTTTTGGTGCGGATGCCTTGCGCGGCCGCGTGTCCGTGCGGCCGCGTGTCCAGTGGATCCTTTGAACGTGTGTCTTTGATTGTTTGGGGCATAACGGGCGTCATGGCCCCGCCCCCCCCCCAACAACGTACCGCCCCCCCAGTGCGCCCGAGGCACTGATGCCGTGCGCGTCGGTTGGGATCCGCATATGCATATGCGTCCGCACAGGAATCCGCATAAGGGTCTGGTCCGCAGTCGTCGTCGTCGTCGTCGTCGTCGTCGTCGTCGTCGTCGTCGTCGTCGTCGTCGTCGTCGTCGTCGTCGTCACCACTCGTCGCTCGTCGCTCATCGCTCATCGTAGTTGTGCGCGCGGACGCGGCTGGAGCCTTTCTTTTTTTTATTCCGGGCCGATGACGGCCGTCATTTGGGGGGAGGAGGAGGCCGATGACGTCACGTTTCGCGCCGGCGGCGTCCCGGAATGCCTGGGAATGACCGAGGACGGGTAGCAGCAGCCTGTAGGTGGCGATTTGTACCACAGCGCCTGTGTACAACACAGTGCCTGTGTACACCCCACCGCCTATGTACACCACAGCAGCCGCGTGCAACACAGCGCCAATGTGTGCCACAGTGCCGCCGGGCACCACAGCGCATGAGGAGGAGGAGGAGGAGCAGAAGGAGGAGGAGGCGGAGGCAGAGGAGGAGGAGGAGGAGGAGAAAATGGAAGAAGCGTAGAATGAGGAAGAGGAGGAAGAGGAGGAGGGGGAGGAGGAGGAGGAGGAGGAGGAGGAGGAGGAGGAGGAAGGGGAGGGGGAGGAGGAGGAGGAGGAGGAGGAGGAGGAGGCAGGAAGGAATATCGTCGCATTATATTAACAGCACTTCCCTTGCGCGGTGTTTGGCTGTCCGCAGCAGATCCTCACCTACATGCTGCTTCTATCTGTTCTGTGCACGCAGGCATTGTGGTGTCCACCAGCGCTGCGTTGCACGCAGATGCTGTGGTGTAGACGGGCGCTGTGGTGTGCACAAGCGCCGCGGTGTACGCAAGCATTGTAGTGTACGCAGGCGCTGTGTTGCACATGGTTGCTGCGGTGTACACATTTGCTGTGCGCTGCGTTGCACACGGCTGTTGCGGTGTACGCAGGCACTGTGGTGTACACGCGCGCTGTGGTGCACGCGAGCATTGTGCTGTACACAGGCGTTGTGGGGAAGATCGCCACTTACATGCTGCTCCGATTTGGCTTCGGCCATCCTCTGGCATTCTTGGACGCCACCAGCACGGAACGTGACGTCATCCGAGGAGAGGAGAGGGAGACGTGGCCGATGACTTCTGCCATCCCAGAGAATAAAAAGAGAGGGTTCCCGTGGCGCCAGACCCACACGGCGGGGTGAGGGGGGCGTTCCTTTACCCGCCCCCCCACAACGCCCGTTATTACCGAACATGAAGAAACGCGTATTTGGTATCTCTCTGACGTGTGCATTTTTCATCGGCGAGGAGCATTTTGGACCACCTGGCAGCACGAGCGTGCACGATGCCGAAAAGTGCACGGGGAATGGACGTCCGAGCGATGGCAAGGATCGGGCCCCAGGGAGTCCAGACCGCGAGGGCATCGATGCGGACCCGCTCGCCGCCCGCGAGAGGTCGCCCCGCAAAGAAGGCCCGCCGACGCCTGGCGCCCTGCGCGCCCTCCCGCCGACGGGTGGGGCCGCGCGGCGCATGCGGGCCCGCCGCGGCCCAGGCGCCAAGCAGTACGAGGTCGTGTTCCCGATCTCCCTTCCCGACGAGGAGAGCGGGGAACCGCAAATACCGATTATTGGTTCCAGAATGCTCGCGCGAGTCTTGTGCGAAGGCCTTGTACGGGGGACCTTGGGCGCGTTGCGAGGGGCTCTTGTGCTTGCCCTTGGGCTCTGACTAAATGAGGGGGAGAACAAACAGACAGACACAATTAATCGACGATTCCCCAAAAACTATTGGAAAATATTGGCAGTGGGGGGGAAGACAGGAACCGAGAACGTATGGGAAAATATGGGGAATATCTTTATTTGTGTGTATGTATTTGTATGTCCCAGGGCCCCTTCACTAATGCTGGCCAGCCGCACCTCGCTTCGGCACTCTGTCTATTCAAAATCGTAGAACTTGTGGATCAGAAGCGGGTCCCGCTTCCATATATCATCGACGCGCGCCGTCGCCAAGACAGGCGGTGTTGCCGCCATGCTTTTCGGGAGGGATTTTCCCCGATTCGAAGATCTGTCGCCCACGCGCCAGAACCACGGATCCCAAATCCATGAGAGCGTGCACCTGACAATCGCCCGTTGATCGCCAATGGGGGCCCGATGGCCCACCACTCACAGGACCGTTGGCGATGTGTCGCCTGTTCCAGGTCGATGTTCTCTCCCTGGGCCAGTCCCCCCCCCCGTATCATTGCTGCTCAGACAGGTACCCAGACGCAGACACCCTTGCGTCGGAAACACAATCTCGACGGGAGGTGTCTGGGGCCACAAGGACTGCTGAGGCCACAAGGACAGCAAAGGGCTTCCAGGTAGATTTTAATCCGCAGGGACCCCATGCCTCAGCGCCCCATCTTTGGACTGCCGACTCGTCAGGCCCCAAGATTGTCTTCAGTCCTCTGGCGCGTAACGGTCGTCACCCAGCCCCCCCCCACGGCAACGATCATGCGAGGGGAGGTGGCCCCACGGCAACGATCATGCGAGGGGAGGTGGCCTGGTGGATCCCCTCGTGTTGCTGCCCGTGCGCACACTACGGGATCGCAGCGCACCCCCGCCCCGGCGTGCTCCAACCGGCCCACGCGTCACCGCTGGGGCTCCGACCTCCCCCCCCTTGGCCAACGACCGCTTCCGGGGGACCGTCAGAGAATGGCTCGGGATGGCCATGCGGAAGGGGTCGAGCCATTCGAGGGCTCAACGCGTGAAATATCGCAGCGTCGGGGCCTCCTGGTGCTTCAGGCACACCAGATAGAGCAACCTGCCCTCCAGCCTGCGAGCTGGTGCCTCACAGCAAGAGGATGTGCCCCCAGATCTCGTGAGTATCTACCTGCTTGTGGGGGATGTCAGGACTGAGGAGAAGTATACACCAGTGCCTACGAGATTCCCTCGTTCTCGCTTTTGGGGGGGCCTTGGGGTGCGGGCCTTGTGCAGGTTTTGGGCCTCGGTTCCGGGTTCTACCCTGTGTTCGAGGATCATTGTCGCATTGTTTTTGCTGCTGGCTTCTCAAGGCTTCTGGGAGGTGCCCTCGTCGCCACAGCAACACTCGCCTGGGAGTCCTGGTCACAACGCTTCCCCTCCCCGGAGAGGTTCGGGGAGAGTCGCCGTGGCGATGTCTTCTTGCTCCCCGGGAAGAGGGGGAGCAGAAGGGAACGAGAGGAGGTAGGATCGGGGGCAGGTGAAGGAGGAGGAGGAGGAGGAGGAGAGCAGGAAAAGGAGCAGGAACACAGGTAATCACAGTGACGTCGTATGGTTTTCATTATCCGGGTGGTTCAGAAATGTCACGCTGCGGTTTCCGTAAGCGGCCAGAAGTGCACGCTCAAGAGACTCCTGACGAGCAAACACCATATTCGAAGCATGGGACTCGAAGTAACCAAGAACATTCGAAGTGACATGGGGACAATCCACTCAGTGGTCCTGCCACGGCTGCGGATTTGGCATCCGTATAGAGTCGTACGCGCTTCCATACTCGCGGATCCCATGCTCTCCGCGCGCGCTCCGCGCTCCCCCCGCGCGCGTCGGCGCGCACCCCGCTCGCCCCCCGCGCGGCCCCTGCGCGGCCCCCCCACTCCGCACACTCCGCGCGCTCGCGCGCTCCCCGCGCGCCCCCACAGCGCCAAGGGCAAACGAGTACCTCAAGCGATACGAATTTCTGAATGAGACAGACGGTTGGGCAATGTGTACCCCCCTTCAGACCCAAGTCGTTTGCGGATTGCGCCTTGATGATGAACGATTGGTGGGTGATGCTGCGAAGTACAAGCTAGTGATCAACATGGTTCTTGTCATTGATGCTGATAGGCGTTGCGATTTCTGGCCGCTCAGTACTTCTTTTTGGGGAAGGCACTACTTCAAGGCAGATAGGGGACAACTTGCCAACATCACAAAGCGCGTTCCACTACTCGCAAAGTGCCTACTCGCAAACGTCCGGAATATATATATATATATATATATATATATAAACGCATGTTTGCTGTTATGTCATGTATAGTAGATCCCCCTATGGGGATCCATGCCATTTGCGTGTAGTTCTTCTGCGAGTAGTGGAGCGCGCTCGTCTACATAAGGAGCCACTACACTCTTTTCGAAATAATGTGCAGCACCAGCGGCAGGCTCGTTGATCCATTCGGTTATCTTCTCACACGCACACAGGCGGGAAGTCATGTCAGCTCATCGCGAAACGCTCGTTTGGCCAATATGTTGCTACGCCTCAGAGCCTGTCCACAATGCAGTATTACTCATTGATTGTGGAATAAGGGTCGCAAAGCCTCGAGGTGAATGCGAAGCCTGGCGGGTACTTAAGACTACATACCCTGGCTTGGAGTGGAATACGATTGAAGTGGTTTGGTGGCAGCCTTCCCCAGTGGAGTCGACAGCAACAGACACTGCGCCTTCAAAAGGGAGAGACATTATATCTAGAGGCGACTCATGATGGCGCGCAGAAGGACATGGTGTCGCTGAAGGAGATGATGTTTTGGAATGGGCCGCCACGGCTGGCCTTTGACCCAGAAGCAGTTGTAGTTTCAGTGTATTTGCGCAACCAGTCATTTGGCCAGAGCTGCGCTCCTCATGATCTGCTCGCCGAAATCCCGCCAAAGGTCGGCCAGAGCGCATTGCTTGAGATGCACTCGAGAATGCCCTTGTACTGTTACCATCCAGACAGATTTGCCGACCGTGAGGTCATTAGTTGTATCTGCCATACAGTTGATCAGGTATTCTTCACGCTTCGCGTATACCCACCAGCAAGCTGGGAGCGCCTGGGTCAACATCAAGTCTGACCCCAGGCGGAACACGGTACAGCAGTGCGACGACTTCCTCCATGCATGGAGCAAAGTTGGATACGACGCCTACAAGATGGACAGGGAATACCAGCTCCACGTTGACTGGCCAAACGTCATGGAGAAACAGCGCAGGCACACGCAGCGCGACACCAGAGCACGCGGAGTTGACCCGTCCATCGGAAGCGGACGCATAAATCCGCGGGCCGACGAGGGCAAGGAGGCTACAAAGAACTCCCCGTGGGTCCCCGAAGGCAGATCCAACGCGCGGACAGGTGCATCTGGATCCGCCGCATCCTGGCGCACTTGGCAGTCCTGGGACGGGTGGGAACACCAGCGAGGCACATGGACTGACACGGACTGGGAGGCCAAGGGGAAGCGGCCCTCCCCCAGAGGAGAAGCCCACTACGCAGACAAGCGACAGCGGGGGTGGGACTTCTGCCCCAAGTGATCGGACAGGGCCTTGCCGCGGGCGCCCATCACCCCCCCCCCCCGGCCGGGGGGCGGGCCCGCCCAGTCAGGGACCTTGTGCTGTGCGTGCTACGCGCCCCCCCCCAACTGTTCGTCTGGTCCCCCCCCCCGATTCCCGGGGGGGATGGTCCGCGCAGCCTGTCCGCGGCTCAAGTCATTCTTCCACCCGATCTTGTCGATTCTTAGAGTTGCCACCCAGCCCGTCATGGAGCGCAACGCCTGCTTCCTGGGCGATTGCGACCTTGGGCAACTGGGAACAGCCACCACTTCACTCTACAAGGTGGTCTCCATCGCGCTGACCCCGTGGGCAACATGGGGCCCCGCCGTTCCGGGCGGAGCCCGCTGGGTCGGCAGCCCCATGGCCCTCAACCGGCCCTTTGCTGCGCACAGCGATGCAGGGGGGAGGGGCTGAGGAGCGTGATGTGGCAGTCCCCCGCGGCCCAGCTTCCCTCGTGGTTTCCCCCGACCTGGACGGGGGCCGGTTTCACCGCAGTGCCAGGCCTCGGCCTTAATACCCCCGTGCCACCTCTTACGGGTCAGAGGTGCACCGATGCCCATGCGCTGCGCACTAGACAGCCCACGCTGGTCTCGTGGGACCCTTCTGGTCGGTGGATGGTGGCTGAAATAGCCCACCTCCCGTGCCCCCCTCTATGGATGACTGGGGGCGCTGGCCTTGGGCCCGCCCCGCGCGCTCCACCTGGCTCCAACGCTCAACGCCTCACGGTCTTCCCCCCGACGTTGCTGCTTGGGGCAGTTGCGGCGAGATCCCCCGCAGTGGCCCGGCGCTTTGTTCCCCCCGCGGTCGCCGAGGGCCCGCCGCAACCCAGCGTGGCGGGATCACGAGGCCAAAGTCTTCGCAGTGTCAGCATTGACGCCACCCCTCCCTCTCCTCGTTTCATTTGCTGGATTGTGTGGCTATCGGCTGCGACTCCCCCTCTCCTCCTCCTCTATTGCTGATGCGGCGCCGCGCGATTTCCCCCCGCCGAGGCTCCAGTGGAACGCTCGGGCGTGCGATGCTGCTTGGGGCAGTGACAGCGAGGCCCCCCGCAGTGGTCTGGCGCTCTGTCCCCCCCGCGGTCGCCGAGGACCCGCCGCAACTCATAGTGGAGGGATCGCAGAGGCCAAAGACTTCGCAGTGAGAGCATTGGCGCCACCCCTCCCTCTCCTCCTTCCATTTACTGGATTGTGCGGCTATCGGCTGCGATTCCTCCTCTCCTCCTCTTTTATTGCTGACGCGGCGCCACGCGAAGTCCCCCCAACCGAGGCTCCACTGGGGCACTCGGGCGCACTTGCGACCGGGGGGCTCACTGGCAGTGCT